CCCCCCCCCTGGACCGATTTTTATTGTTCGACTACAACTCCACGATGAAAAACTGATGAATAGATGAAACGATACGTATTCGGGAAGCTCTCGATCGACCAGACGGCCCCAGTGCCACCAACATTGTTTCTGCCGTAGAGACATCGGGCTATCTTTTGCCACCTATGTCTCCGCTCAAACAGCTCGACGCACGCCGCGTCCGGCGGTCGATTGACTCTTTTGGACTACATATACAGCCTCTGATGAACCTCGTTGGTATGTGGAAGTACATGTCTGTCTGTGTGTCGTGCGATTGTGTTGCGGGAATCAAGCGCTATCGACAGCAGGCGACGAGGACAGAGTGAAAAGGGCACCTCACCGCTGCCGGGTGTTTCCTCCCTAGTCGACTGATTGGCCGGAGCCCCCTACCATGTGTGCCAAAATGGATACTGCCGTTTTGATGACCGGGGTTGTCGGGAGGCCGCTTGCTCCGTATCGCTTCATGTCGATCACCTTCAAAAGTTCGTTAGCAGTACGTTGTTCTGCCTATTATGCTTGCGTTGCCACGCTGCCCACCCACCAAAAAGAATGCCGGCTGTGTGTGAACTCCCGTGCAGCGAGCGGGGCACCCTGAAAAAACCGGGGGAGAGTGACAATGCAAAAGCTTCAAAGCTTCGCTATAAAGAACACGGGCACCGATACGAATTTTGCAAGGGCACTGGTATGGTTTGGGGGGGCGGGGGTAGGCCATGCGGTGGGCCAGATATTGAGAGGGCCTGAGCAGCCAAACGTCTCTCCTCGTACACGATAGAAGCCTCCCGAGCCTGGATAGAGAGAAACTCCGTTCGCGAACAAGCAGCCGCAGACCTGTTGTTGCCGTACCGCAGCGCAGCAACAGACCCACGATAGACAACTGCAGCGACGGGGAATAATGTGCTACATACCCTTCTTCGTGTGTGTACAGGCCGGTGCTGTGCTGACGGAAGTGCTGCTGCTAACACGCCGTTTCGGCACGTGCCCCCTCCTGTGCGGGTAGAAACGCCTTCCAAAGGACGTGGACCACACCCTAGTTTTCACCGCACGCGCCTGCCCGGGCTTTCAAGATGAGTCCGCCTTATTCAACCAAGAAATATTTTGTTCGTTATGCCATATTTCCCCACACAATGTTTTTGTTCCACGGAACACAACACCGGGTTGTTTGGGTTATTGTTATTCTCGTCCTTTGTCCCCCCTTACTTATTTATTTTTGCTCGTGCAGGAGCTGTCGAGGCGTTCTTTGGAGACGGCGACGCCTGCGAGAAATGGGAGCAAGAACGATCGAGCGGCAGAGGCGCAATTGGTGGCCGTGAGTGTACCCCTCGATACCCCCCCCCCCCCATCGCATGCGGTGCCCCCTAAGAACAGCCAAGAAGGAGAGGCTTTGTAGGGATGCGTGGTCGTCGGTCTAACCGCTACATGAGGCATGCAAAACATGAGCACCCCCCCGCACCTAACGCAGGAAAACACGGAACTCCGACGACAAGTGGAAACTCTCGCAGGGCGGCTCGAGGAGGCGTTGTCGTTGGCCAGACGGGGCGGGGGAGAGGAGAGCGAGGAAGGACTTCTCGGCGGGGGGGCATCGGGGGGGCCGAAGCTCAGGAGGCTGCGACGAGCATACGAGGAGTTGCAGGCGAGAGGAGGAAGAAGCGGTGATGATTGGTGTCGAGGCTTTGGCTGCTTGACTCAATACTGTGCATGTGACGGACGGAGTAGGGGTGGGGATGTTTTCTTTGTTTCGAACTTTCATGGTTGAAGGGGGGGGGGGGGGGGCTGGCTACGCGTGTGAGGCGCGCGCGCGTAACTCTGAGCTGTGTACATACAGCCTTCATATATTCTCGGTGTCTGCGGCAAAGCAGGTCTGGCGTTGCTTCTTGACTCTCTCTCTCTCTCAATCATGCCGTAGTTGTCACGGGAAACCGTGCTATGACGCTGCGAACTTGGTGCTCCTTTTCCGGCGTGGTGCAGAACGTTTTCGGTCGGCGAGAGAGTCGGTCACGAGCAAACCGCCGACGCCTGTTATACGACCCACGCCTTCGATACGCCGGGCCGATGTATGCCGCGGTGTCGCAGTTCAACGCGATTTAGTTCTTGCTATGGAGAAGGAAGGCAGTTAGTCACTCTCGTGTCGGGAAGGGGACCCTGGGCGCCTTCATGGAGGAGTCCCTTTGCTTGTTCGGGCTGTAACCTGTGACCACGAAACTCAGCTGTGATTACCAGTAACGATAGCTGCACCAACGTTAAACCGCGGTCTTCTTTGAGTCCCCCCCCCCCCGCAAACTTGGCCGGAGTACAAAAAAGTAATGATTTCTCTGGCAGGGACGTACTTGTTTTCGGAGGGAGGGTAGATTGTTGCTTTCCAAGTGCACGAAATAGCTTTTGCTAGAGCCGGCACTCTTCCCTGACACTACCGTACGTAGAGGTGTGGCGCAATCTGGGCTTTCGCATCCTTTCAGTGTCTCCACAATTAACAGCAGCAGTTGACCTGTTTCTTATCGTGTCTGTTTGGTTGTTGTTGTTGTTGTTCATTTTTTTTTTCTTCTTCGGGTGCGTGGAAAACTTGTGGCCTGCCAACAGTCTCAACTGGACGATCTGAGGGATGCCCACGAAAGGCTGAGGCTGGAATCTACGTCGGAGATCCGTAAACTAAGGAGAGAGGCGAGGGAAGGGGCGAAGACGGTGGAGATGGCTGCTAGCACCGCCGGCCAGGCCGAGGATCAGGTATTGTGCTCTGGCTCTGAGAGAGTGTTGTTGTCGTTGTTGTTGTTGTTGTTGTTGTTGGTATTGCTGCTGTTGTTGTCGTCGTCGTCTTCTTGCTGTTGTTCTTGTTCTTGTTCTTGTGCTCTCCTGGTCGTTGTTGTTGTTGGTATTGCTGTTGTTGTTGTTCTTGTCTCTTTTGCCGTCGTCCTGTTGTCGTTTGTTTTGTTCTTCTCTTTTTTGTTATTCTCTTGTCGTCGTCGTTGTTGTTGTTGGTATTGCTGTTGTTGTTATTCTTGTCTCTTTTGCCGTCGTCCTGTTGTCGTCTGTTTTGTTCTTCTCTTTTTTTTTTTTCTCTTGTCGTCGTCATCGTCGTCATCATATGGTTTCGCCAGATTCCAACTTGCCGTTCGTTCCATAAACCCCTCCTCCCGGCACACTCGATGCTACATCTTCACATCCGTCTCCCCATCGCATCCCATCCCATCCCATCCCTTGCCATTCCCCAGGTGGCTTCCCTGCAAGAAGAGTTGGAAGTGTGCGAGCGGGCGCTTGCCCAGGCCCGGGACAAGCACCGCAGAGAGGTGGACGGACTGGACAAAGAGCTCGAGAAGGTACATGGGCGTGTCGGGCAGGCAGGAGAAATTGCCTTACCACCCCTTGTTGGCTGACAGGAGTGCCCTCGAAATGGTGTGTGTGCCAAGAGGCCGGCTTGAATTTGCTGTGGGACGTGTGTCGGGCGGTTGTTTGAAAAATGTGTTTGGGGAACATAGACGTAGAATCACAGGAAGCGTTTTATCTGTGTGTAACTATTTTGAACAGGTGTGGTATGCATACGTTGTTGTCCTTTTCGTTGTCGAAATCAGTCCCTCATGTTTTTTCATCGTTTTTCTTCGTTTTTTCAAGCAAAACCCATCTTTTTGACCTCTTCACCCCCCCAAACCCCGCAAAAATCCTACCATCCATGCACAGGAGAGAGTAAGAGGCAGGGCCATGCGCGCCAAGATCCGAGAACTCTCCGCTCTTCGCGGTGGTGGCGCTGCGGCCGGCCCTAGGTCTTACAGCCACCAGCAGCAGCAGCAGGCGAGGAGGTTATCCTCCCCGTTCGGAGGAGGGGGGGGCACAACGGCTGGGACCAGACGCGGCGGCGGAACCACCAGTGGCGGTTACGCTTCGTCGTCGGTTAATCGCTCGCGGAGTGCCGGTTCGAGCCGCCGCCGCCGTCTGGCGGAAAGCTCCAGCACCACCAGGAGGTACGCTGCAGCTGCTGCTGCTGCCGTTTTTTTTTCGTTTTTTTTTGTGATCCTGGGATGGTCCCGCCCGAATCTTGGTCTTGTTGCCATCGTTGCACCGTAAAAATGTTGATGTTTTGTATCTAGATGTTATAAATAAATAGTAAGATACAATTAAAAAATAAGATAATACTATTTGCTCATAATTGTTATACGGAAGTAATAATGTAATATACATTCGACCGTCGCCCACGGGCCTCGAACTAGATGCGGACACTCTCGCCTCGGGAAGCTTTTGTGAAAATGGTTTCAGGTGTGTCCTGTTGGGTTGGTTGTAGGTTACATGTCTGTGCATGGTTGCTTGATCCCGTTACCAGACACTTGGGGTTGCTGCTGCTGCTGCTGCTGCTGTGAACGCGCCTTAATTTAGCATACACACACATGCGCGCACACGCTAGTAGCACGGGCGGAGCCAAGGGCGGTCGCGTGAGACTGACGAAAAGGGGGGGGCAAGAAGGCTGCATGCATGTTGCTGCGTTCCTAAAGCCGACCTATGGTTGCACGTGAGCTGTCGCGCTGCCTTGTCCCCGATGCATGTGGAAGCGCGGGGGGACATCTGCGGACACCAGGAGTGCTAATTTATGTAGTTGCCCAGTCCTCCCTACGTTTTTTTCGGTTGGTGCTTGTTTTTTTTTTTCCTGTGCAGCAGAAGAAAGACCGATAGATATACCTGGATTATTTGTCCACCTCGTTGAACGACGGCGAGTCTCTGCTTGTGTTGTACTCGAAAGGGGCCAACACGACGGCCTAAAGTACATAATAACGCTTGTTGTCCTAAGGACGAGTGACCCACACGAAAGAACCCCCTTCTACGACCCC